TAGTGCTACGTACCCCGGTTACAGCAGGGCCCTGCAATCCCGAAGATGCCTTGTGTGGGGAAGTGCTTTTTCAGAAATAAGAGAAATGGTCCTGACGCGGGGTCACTATCCCGAATCAGTGACAATTTCAAGTGATTATAGAGGATTTGGGTTGTTTGGCACGGGTGCAAGTTGCCTGTGGTGGATTAGCCATGGCGAGCAGCACCCCGTATGGAATGACGATGGATCTGATATGAGCGATGTACGAGAAGGCAAGATCCACCAAGACTTACCTCGGATCCACCCTTACCTGGATTCACTAAGATGGATATGGGATATACTATACAAGAGTGGATCGAGTGCGGATCCTATGAAGGAAGGTTGGTCGGTGCTCTCTGACGGTGGATCTAGTAGCCACGGCTAATGAAGAGTCAAGATCCACCGCGAGGTACCCCGGATCCCATACTTCCGAGTTCGTATCCAAGGAGGGAGGATCCCGCCTGGAGGGACCTGGATCCAGGGTATAGGGATGAGGGATACAGTGGATCTCGAACTTTCGTAGGACAACGGAGATCACAGACGGTTGCAAGATGATGTTGGATGATTGGAGAGTTCAGATCCACGGCGAGTGTACCATTACAGTGAGGTGGATCCAAGCGACCTGGATCCGGATGAGTGTACCCATAATAGGGTGACCATGATGATTACGTCATATATCCGGTGGATCTGAAGATAACACAGCTGGGATGATGGGTCAAGGGAAGAAGGGACATGCAGCCGAGCCTGGTAAGGGATTTAGCAGATGAAAGACATAGAAGGTAGAAACCCAGGCAGGTATAGGCTTAAATATCAATACAGACTCCAATTTGCACAGTGACACGCAAGTGCCTTCCTGCCCTCAAGAACCGGAACTACATTGGCCGTACGAGCTCCGAGAAGGTTGGGAATTGCGAATCTAGTGTTGGTAGTGATAACTGGATAATACATTGGCCAGATCCTACAACCTAGTGAGCTTTTCCTTTACTTGTGCAGATCCGACAGGTTAACCGAATTTACTACTTGGTCGGTTACACCCTAGGGGCTCTCAACTCTCAAGATCCCGTCACAGGAGGCGGCAAGTACGACTTAAAGGACAACACAAAGGCAAGGGAACACACCCGCAAGGCAACCCTACGGCCAGATCCACGATCTAGGCCCCGGATCCATAAGCTCGAATATTCGCTTAGGATACGGAACCATCCACGGACGCAGAGTGAAGATTTTCCACTGCTGCTCCACCCCATCCCCACGTCTCGCCAAGACACTCAAGCTTCACCACTTGAACTCTTCGGAAGTTACCGAGAGAGCAAGATCCCGCCCTACCGACGGGTACACAAGGTGAGGAAAGTTCAGCAGAACACGGATCATCGGGGGACCCCCTCCGTTAGTCGGTGTCTGGGCGCAGTTGGTAAGTTGGATCTGGCAATCTCGCAGATTTTGCTGATCCCGCTACACCACACCTGCCATCTTCCGAACCGACTCGAACTGAGAGTCGTTTATTTGGGAGAAGTCGTTCCTATCCATGGCAACGAACTTCGGAGGTTCAGGTAGTCTACCCGCGATGGCGTGGATTGACTACAAGTGCTACCAAGTGTGACGGGGTCACACAGCACCTTGCGCTAGAGGAAGTTATCTTCCGAGAGTATACAAACTCTCAGTGAACGGCAGTTCACAGGTCCCCTCTTTAATTAAAGAGAGCGAAGTGACCTAAATAAGGTAGATTGTAAACTGAGTATATTTATAGGTAGGTTAAGTTTGTGGTTAATACAAACTATCAGTTACCTATAGAAATGCAATGTCATTTAACCAATGGTTGGTTTTGAATGACCTTGGTACCTTGTACCAAATATCCCGGAGTATGACATGTCATACTCCTGAAGTGTGAAGTGTCACACTTCATGTAACCAGGGTACACTTAGTGCTACGTACCCCGTTACAGCAGGGCCTCCATCCCGAAGATGCCTGTGTGGTGAAGTGCTTTCTCAGAAATAAGAGAATGGTCCTGACGCGGGGTCACTATCCCGAATCAGTGACAATTTCAAGTGATTATAGAGGATTTGGGTTGTTTGGCACGGGTGCAAGTTGCCTGTGGTGGATTAGCCATGGCGAGCAGCACCCCGTATGGAATGACGATGGATCTGATATGAGCGATGTACGAGAAGGCAAGATCCACCAAGACTTACCTCGGATCCACCCTTACCTGGATTCACTAAGATGGATATGGGATATACTATACAAGAGTGGATCGAGTGCGGATCCTATGAAGGAAGGTTGGTCGGTGCTCTCTGACGGTGGATCTAGTAGCCACGGCTAATGAAGAGTCAAGATCCACCGCGAGTTACCCCGGATCCCATACTTCCGAGTTCGTATCCAAGGAGGGAGGATCCCGCCTGGAGGGACCTGGATCCAGGGTATAGGGATGAGGGATACAGTGGATCTCGAACTTTCGTAGG